TTTTTTTTCCAATGTTTTATTCAATAAAACTGTTGTATTCAACTATATTTCTATTTAAAAAAATATAATGTTTTCATGGAAAAATGTACGGGTTCAGTAAAAAAAAAATAGCAATAAAAAAAATGCAACAAATTTTCTGTACTTGTGTATATTTCAATAGTAATCATACATTTTTATACTATGAGAAATAAAATGAATAAAAATCTTTTTTAAAAGGTGGAACGAAATTTTCGTAAATCTCATTCACATAATATTTTTCTACATATTTAATGAGTCCTTTTCAATAAAATAAAAAAAAAAAAAAGAAATTGTTGGATTTCTGAAAATGTATCACTATGAAATTTTTAAATCTGAAAATACATTACCTAGTATGACTGGTTACCCGGATTTCTTTCTTCGGATTTGGATTACGTATTCCTTACATAGGAAATATTGAGAAAGAGTGGGTAGTGAAGGTTCGGTGTATATAATAACAATGTGTATTGCATGGAAGAAGGGAGAGAAATAGAACGCCATACATAAAGGGATAGCTTTAAAATTAGTTGATTGACAGTAATATAACATAATTATCACCGTTAAGGTTTGTCCAATTTTTTGTGAATAACGATAAGTAAATGACTGGGAAATATTGGAGGGGCTAGGTCCCTTCATAAAATATTGGAGAGACAGAAATTGCTTTATCCCCTCTTCCTCGGTGACGGTGCCTATGGTGATACCTGAAACTTAGGAAAGTTGTGTACTACAATCCCTTTATCCAAGATTAAAAAAGTTGTTCTTAATTTTATTATTGATTTTTTACATTTTAAATAGAGGTTTTAGGTTTTTAGAATGAAAATCCTAACATTTAAATATTATATGTATCATTTACAATTAAGTTCCGCTATATGAAGTGTACAGAAAATATTATATTTTTTTCTTTTTTTCTTACTAAATATATTTGAAACCCAGAAATTAACAGGGTTTAATGCAACCCTGTAAATTGAATAATAGGCTAACTCACCAATATGAAATGGGTGCACAAAGAAAAGGAGAAAATAATGAATATCTGAGTCCAAATCTCTGAACAATTTACAAATATAGATTAAATTAAATAATGGCGATTTGATATGGGCTGACTCGAAATCAATAAAATATTTTAAAATAAAGCCTAACATTCCTTTTCGATTGGGTCTCAAAAAAGAATTCTTCTTAACTGCACCATACGAAAATCCTCCATTTATTATAAGAATCAACTACCATCGATAAAACCACTAATAAAAACGATACTTGAAATTCTGACCATGTACGAGTTACGAACGATTTCATACAAAATAGCTTGATTTGAGGGGAATTATTTGGTCATTCTGATAAGCGGTGTATATAGCTTGAAGAATGATGGATTTCACAAAGCTTATTTTTAACGTATTTAAGGCTCAAATACTCCTTCATATGTGCAGCATATGTTATAAACAATGTTCCCGTGTTTAGCACCACTAAGCTGAGCTTTCCCCTCCTTCCGTGGACAATATTTCCTATTACCATTCCACTTTACCAAATAATCAGTAATCATCGTCCGCCTAATGCATACAATCTCCTACAATTCAAGTCATCTCTCCACATCCTCTCTAGAAGATCTCGTCGTTCTGAGCCTTACACCCCTTTTCACAGATCTCCCTCATTTAAACATTCCTTTGTTGTCCAATCCGCTGCATTTTGGAATTCCATCTCACTAAAAATCCATGCATCATCCTTGTCCACAGTTAAAACCCTTTTATTCCAATTCCTCTTCACAAATTAATCAGACGCTGGCCAAGTATTTATTATGTAATAAGGCTTTAATTTTCTTTATACAATTCTTTTTTCTCTTATTTGTTGAACATGAATTTCCATCACCATTCACAAAGCATTATGAGTAGGAGTAATTTGTTTTTCTTAACTTCTACTTTTCCCATTCATAAGATTGTATTTCTTTGAAATGTATTTCATATTTTACTTATTTTTGACGCACTCTCTTCTATGTTTGTATATTTTTTTTTCCTTCTCCTAATCTTTATGTGCATTCACTTAAACTTCTTAACGAACTCATGTGTAAATAATTTATATACAGTAGTTATTTTTCTTTTAATTTTTATATTCTATCACTACAATGCTTTGTCTATAATGTCTATTTAACGTTGCTTTCTAATTTCATTTCTAATGAAGCACTCCTGTATGACGATAGGAGATCACGAGCTGCCAATCAAACGACTGGTTGATCCAGGAAAGCGGATCATTATTTCCGGTGCTTGCCCCAGTATACCTCATACAATTTTGGAAGAAGAGATCCAGAAGCTGGGGGTTAGGCTATTATCACCAATAACTTTCTTACGTTTCGGGTATAAGGAAAAAAACCTGAGCCATGTACTAACGTTCCGACGACAGGTATTTATAGAGGCGGATGATGTAACTAAGTTAAGTAGCACGGTTGCCTTTTCTTATCAGGAAATCAATTACCGGATTTTTCTCGCTGAAGATGTTATAATCTGTTACATCCGCAAGAAACCGGGACATTTTGCAGCGAAATGTTTGGAAAAAGAACTGCCGGATGGGTATAATCCGGTAAATATTGAGCACACGCTCCAATCAACTGAGATCGAGCCATGCTCAAGCACAGTTGATTTAGAGGGTAGTTTGAAGAAAGCGGCAACGATTGATGCTGTAGTCATTGGGTCTAATACACCAGGGGACTTGGAATATAGTAATAGGCAGGTAACCATTGATCACAATCCACCTATTAATAAATATACTGACGAGAAAACACCTATTGACAAACATACTGACGAGAAAACACCTACTAATAAATGTACTGACAAGGAAACATTGATGGGTACATCTGACACTGAGAAATATATGCAGGATGATGACCAGAAACAAAAACGGAATAACATCACTATAACAACCCTATGCAAATCCAAACTATACTTATCACAGAATCAAGGGATCAACAAAAACCAACAACGTTCACAAACTAGAGATACAGTATCATTAACTGCGAAAAAGTGCAAAGCCGGCTCAAATATTAAAACAAAGAAGATCAGAAATCCCACTGAAACCATACTTGGACCCGTGCGAACCATGATCTTAAACAACAAAAGCACTTACCCTCTCACTTACGACAAAATATGCCTATTACTCGATATGACTCAGGGAGAAAATGAATCAAACACTACTGATATCATGTCTCAGTTTACAAACAATGGAAACGGTCTGAAAACAATGCTCTCAGATATCAGAGACACAGTATCACATAGAGGGCTAAAAATCAGAATCTCAAAACTAATAAAGATTTTGAATGAGCACTCCTTGAACACTACCGAGCATTTAAAAATAACACATGGTGATAACAATAATCTGGGAAATAAGAAACACTTTGCCAATCAAAATGAAAACAATTCAATGGAATTGTAACAGATTTTTCCGACATTTAGAGCACCTAAAAATGACAAGAAGCGAAGAGAACCCTATACTAGTTTGTCTCCAAGAAATACACTTACAAGAAACTCAAACAGTGAGATACAAAGATTACGATATATACCGAAAAGCAAAAGATCGTCATGGGAAGACCTCGTATCTTCATTAAATCAAAGCATTTCAATGAAGGAGCTCTGGAATCAAGTGAAAAGCATTAAGGGAATCTCCAAAACAAAGAAATTGTCTGGTATAAAGAGTGGACAAGACATTATAACTGATCCTGACGAAATCGTTAACGAAAGTGATAAAACTCTGCAACAGAGTGTAATTTAAAGGCGTTGCCAATGACCCTACAGGGTAGAGGCAACAAAATACCAAATAAATAAATAATTTCATTTAGTAATTATTATGTTATTGTTTTATCTCCAATATCGTAGTATTTTAACCCTAGTATCCATCTGTTTTCGTTAATATATCCTAAGAACTATGGATATACTTATTTTATTACTTGTATTTTAGTTATTCCCTGTTTTAACAGGTCTTTTGGCCAGATTTATTGTTGATTTATATGAACAATATTGTGATTCTTAAGGGATCTAATCCCAGAATAAAGATTATTTTCTATTTCTGTTTCTATTTCTTAATGGTAATAAAAAAAAGGAAAATAACTACAATAATTTTAAAATGTTTTAATATGTTATTATTTTTCCTCAGTGATCTATAGAATAGTAATAAACTTCCATTGACTTAAAAAGTTATTTAGTTATTATTATAAAGTTATTAGTGATTAAATTTAAAGTAATAAATTAAGTTGAATTTAATTCACTTACCCTCATTTTAACCTTCAGAATAAAACAAAATGAAATTATTATATTTAATCAATATATATGATTAGGTTTATAAACAAATAAATATTTTAATCCCGCAACCTTTCATTTCACAATTAAAACCTTTTTTTTAAAGATTTTTAATGAAAGTGTTTAATATGAAAAAGAATTTTTTAAAAAAGTTTCTTATAAATTATGACATTGTAAATGATTTATTAAATTGCAGGTTAAGTGGTGTTTTGATAGGATAGAGAGACAAAAAGACTATTTGTGGAGGTTTGGAGAAAAAAAGAAAAACAACAAAACATTTTATATTAATTAAACAATTACTATCTTCGATTAGTATTCTATAGACATGTATATTTGAAAATACTTTAGAAAAAATGTTTTTATGACTAATTTTTAGTTTTTGAAAGAAAAAAACAATTCGAAAATCGCTTTTCAGACCCGAAACGTTAAATAATAATTCTAGTATATTTATTTTAAAAATGTTTTAATTGTGAAATAAAAGGTTATGAGATTAAAAGGTTTTTTTTTTTTTTTACTATCTTATCATATATTTATAATATATAATAATTACTTATATAAAAATATCACAAAAAAATACTAACCTAAACAAGGTTGTTTGTCATAAATAAAATGAAATCCTAATAATCTGTAGTTGTAAGCCTAAATTCAAGACACCATGGCATGCATTATTTAATTTGATGGCTTGGAAAGGACAATCCCTCGCCATTACTGTGCATGAAGTTTGGGCAATCGACTTCCAAACTTGGGAAAGTCAAGTTAGCTACCGGTGGCCCAAGTAATGAGACTTCTAAGAGACACTTCCTTCCAATATTCTCAAGCTTATCAAGATTCCCCTCTCATCCTTATTACACATTCAGTACTAATCTTTGTTACCGTCAAATGGTGTTTATTCATTGTTTTCCATTTATTTAAAGATAAATTCATTTATTTTCAATATCGTAGTAAATTTATAAACTTTTAAATTAGTATTAGATATTAGGGGTATTCGTTCAAACAGTGCTAAGTATTGTAAATCTCTTAAATGTGTAAAGTCGAGAAAATTATTTACGAAAATTGATAAAAACATAAAATAAAAATTACTAATAATGGTATTTGTAATTTAAGGAATGCCGATGGTCTCATTTAAGGAGGCTCTCATTGTAGACCTTCTTTAAAGCTATTAAAAATAAGATACATTAATAGAGAAAGGCTGAAGCCTCCCAAAATAGTAAAATATAAACATGTTTTATGAAAAAAGTATTAAAAAGTATCTTTAAAAGTATTATTGTTCGTATTATTTACATTTAACAGGACTTCAGGAATCAAACACAATTGATTGTAGAAGTAATATTATATATATATATATATATATTATATATATATATATATATATATATATATATATATATATATATATATATATATATAAAATATATAATATATATGTATAAAAGCTTTCCTACGAAATTTACTTACTTAATCACCACCATCCCCAAAAAAATTGGATCCTAGATCTGCCAGTGGCAGCCAGTAGTAGAGTTGACGGTGGAGTGGGACTCAAATTCTAAAGATATTTTATTTTTAGATTAAGTAAAAATTATTTGTTAACTATTTTTTTAAAGACAAAATATCCTGGATTTGTTTATTAATTGGACGAAAAAATAAAATCAATAAATGATGAGGAAAGCATTCCTCAAGACGTTAAATAGGATGAACTAGCAAAATGTACATAAAATATATTTTAAAGTAAAATTTCCAACTCCTACATAAATATTTCATTATTTATTTACTATTTGATTATCTCATGTTAATCAGATATTCGGGGCACTTTAATAATCTTTCATAGTGTTTTCTATTTTCTATTTATAATTATTGAAATGACAATAATTAAGGATAATTAAGACATGGCTTATCGATAAGAAAAAATAATTTAAAAAAAAAACACCTTTGAGAAATAATAAATACAAATTTGATTTATGATTTGTTTTCTTTCTCTCATAATTTGAACTATTCGTTTCTTACATGCAGTTGTACTTGTCTACTCCCACTACAATGTCATATTTAGATCAAGATATCCTTATGTTAAGTTCATTTGCTAATGATCTACTTATTTACTGTCTTAATATTGATAACAAGATCATTTGGAAGAAAATTTAATTGGAAGTTCATAAAAAGTAAAAACACAAAACATTAAATATTTCCTATGCAAAGAATCTTTTATTATTTATTTGGAATTGTTGTTTTGAGGTATATAATTGGTTATCCGAGTTTGGTCACTAGAATTCGAGACAGGCTGGCTAATATAATATCGCATGCGACATATGCCTGTTCTTTCCTTTAACTACCATTTCACAGGGCAATTGTAAGGAAAACTCATTTCACTAGGTCTCCAAGCAATAAAAGTTGGATGTCTCCAAGTTGAAATTATAACTCCGGCCTTGTTAATGAAAGCTCCTCTACAGTATTAGTTTTCACTCTCCAGGGAAGGAAAAGTACAATCTACATTAATCTGACGCGTGTGTGTATGTATGTGTATATATATATATATATATATATATATATATATATATATATATATTTATATATTCATATTACAAAAGGCATCAGATCACATTAATATATACACGAATATATACATACCCAAGCTTGTGGGCCATTAGCAAGACAAGAGGTCTATAAGAAAAAAAGTATATGTGAATTTAAAGACAGGTATAAATAAATAACAAGAAGAAAAATATAAATAATAACATAAATTAATTTGTAAGGAATAATAATAATAGATATACAATAAATACAAATCATAATAGAGATACAACTATATTGATAATAACTATACAACTTAAAAAAAAAGGTAAAATTTTACATTTAGTAAGAAAATTTCATGTAATTTCTTTGAAATCACGTGATTTAAGTTAAATAATGTTAGTTTTTAGAAATTATTATTTATATTTTTTTCGCCACTCTCTGCTGCCTTCTACAATTTTCTATATTAGATATATATATTTTTTTAGTTCTCCTTTTTCCAATGATATATTATACTTATATACCTTCTGAATATTATTTCTAAATATTCATTTTCGGCCTGGATATGTATTTTTCTTTTTTCCTCCCATATTCAATTATCAAATTCTTTCAAATGTTATATTTGTCATTTTTTTCGACTCTAAATAATGTGAGATGATTAATTATTTCAAATAAACCGTTACAAATTACCTCAAATTAGGAAATTTTCACAATCGCAATATTTTTCCCTCATTATTATTACACAAATAATTTATAATTTCCAAATAGTAATACATAAAATGAAAAATGGAATGTCACACAATTTTGCTTAGCACTATAGGATAATTTAAATATAAAAACTGCTGGTCTCCCATTTGTCCATTTGGATAAATTTCACTTGTATAACTATATTAAGCTAGATAGCTTGATAAAGTTTATACTGATTATAATGTATATATTGAATCAAAATAAAGATATGTAACAAATGTAGAGTAGATTAGTTGACAATAGATGTCAATTTGTATTTCCTTTTAATTATTAAATTCGTAGTATCTTAAGAAGTATTATCGTAATCTTTTCATTGTATCTAGTTTTCTTTTCGTGTAAAATGTAATTTATTCTTTAATGGGTCAATCTTTTGGTTAATTATCAGGATGTCATGAAACTTAAATAAATTAAAGTGATCAGGAAATCGCCAGTGTTCAACAACAATCATAAAAAAAAATCTACAAATCTAACTTTGCAAAAAGTACAAGAAAATATAGATTTTGGATTCCTATCAAAACAAAATTTACGTTTTTTTTTTTTTAATGTTATACCCTCTCGTACTAATAAAACAAGGTCTCAGTTTTGTGCCCAGAAGTCTTTAAGGGTCAGGTGGGTCAGACTCATCTTTGGTCTAAACGCTTGGTTTGGGGTTGATCGCTACCGATCGATGCCTGTGTAAATTAATTAAAGGAAGAAAGCTTTCACGCCTGTAATCACTTTCCTTTATGAATATGCATAAGCACGAACCTTTTAATAGCCACCCCTCGACACCTTTATTTTTATAAACCCTAACTGCCTCCAGTTCCAGGATTGGTTGAACAATATTGGATCAATATTACTACCGGCGGCATCTTGTTTATTTTTATTATAAGCTCAACATTTTATCGTTCTTCAACTAAGGTGGAAAGGTTCAATTCAGGATTTCTTCTCTATAGCTTCGCTGGACCATTCCAATACAATCGCAATGTGTGTGAACAAAGCAGAATATTACATATATTGTTTAATTATTTTTTAAACTTTCGCATAAAATGATCAATTGATCGTAAATATGTACAATGGTTATTTTTTTTTGTTGATGGTCAGTCAGTATTTTGGTCAAATACAAACATTAACAACTTGCAGACTATACTCTGACACCAGAACAAAACATAATATACCTTCTAACATATCTGACGTACTTCCGAGAAGATACAAAAAGTATTTGAATTCATAAAATACATTAAATTTTTCACCTAATTTGATTCCATGACCCGCTCGGGTAGATTTGGAATATAAGAATAAATAAATAAATAAAACAAACATTAAGGTCGTGGCTATCCATGTTATAGTTGGTCTAAATTGATCTTTCGAATATGTTATCCATAAAGCTGTATCTGCCATAGAATGTTGTGATTCAAACTGTGCATTACTGAATATAGATTTGCTATTGAGGTAAAGTATGCAATTATATCTTCATTTTTAATTTTCAGTTCATTGTTAACGTTTCGGAAAATATTTTCTTATCATAAGATCATATCCATCATTCTTACAATCTTCTCTTTGCCATTATATAAAATGAGTTTTTATTATTTATTTTAGTTAAACGTATTCAGAGGCGATATTTAACTTGAACAATAATTCATTGTATTTGAGAAAGTATTTTTTCCAAGCTTAACGATGTCAAGGCCATTAAATATTCTTCCAATATTTAATTTTGTTAGAAAACTTGGTCCCCTCATGATAGCCTCTATATAAACAAATTCGAAAAAATTAAATTTTTTACCAAATCCTTTGCAAGGTAACAGGTACATTTATTCTGGACTGTATTGTAACAAATTTTAGAAATAAAAAAAATTTAATTTATTTATTTTTATCGGAAATCCATTAGTCTGCTCATTTAAACTTGCTGAAAACACTCTTATTTCCTGCCTGACACTCTTGAAATTTAAACCAAATTTTAATTTTTCGAAAATATCTACAAATCTAAGTATCAGTATCAGTTCCTTCATGATTTTTTTTCTTCTTTCAGGTTTGCCTTACATACGACTGATACCGAAGGTTACAGCTGTGGCAGGGGAGGAATTCCGCATCAAGTGTCCTGTAGCTGGATACCCAATCGAAGAAATCAGATGGGAAAGAGGTAAAATGTCTGAGTTCAGTTACTTTTCATTCACATTTAATAATATACTATAACTTCATTATTTCAAAAATATCAACGACAAAAATTATTGTTTTACAGTTGTAATTAAAAAAAAATATGCCTAAAATAAATTCTCGACCTAAAATACCCCTAAACCTTTTCAAACAATACATAACAAAGACGTAGAAATTAAAAAGAAGGGTAAGAATACGAGACATGTTTTGAAAGGGAAATGGTTGCTGAATACGTAAACATCTTTTCCGAAAACTTTACATAAAATTTGTTCAAGAGGTGCCCTTAGAGGTTAAATTTTTACTGGAATGCATTCTTTTTTTTTTCTTCCTCCTTTGCAGACGTTGATGAATAATTAAATAACTTGAAAGTATCTTTAATGAGGGACAAAGCTGTGTACACACTTCCGAATACACCTGAGCCCCTTTTTATTCTAGGTGACTTAGAGGCCTTTGACAGCAGAATTAGAACTCAGCTTCCGATTATTTATTTTATGGATTATTTTTTTGCGAATGAAACGTATTTTATAATTCTCTTCTCTTTTCTTGTTGGCAGATCATCTGTAACAAATTTCTGTTCGCTACATACTGATACAAAATTATATTATGTAGTGTTATTTTATGATGTAGTGTTTACAGAATTTTTATTAAGGGATTTAAGGTGCCTTTACAAATAATTTGAACTTTTTTTTTGGTCCTTCCCTTCCTCGCCGTACAGGCTATACGGGGTTTTCCCGGGCCAAAGGGTGTGGATGCGGATTTAAAAGATTTCCTGGGCACCGGGACGCGAACTCGTGAATTTTTATATCGTTTGAAATCATATATCAGGTTGCCGGCCAACGGCAGTGCTATGCACACGCGTTAACCCATTCGGCCACCTTGTTCTAATTTCAACATTTGTTTTTGTGTATATAATATTTTGCACATATTCACATGATAAATTGATAAATCAAAGACTACGCATCTGGAACATCCCTGATGTTCCCTTGGAAATAATTTAATCTCTCTATTATATAAAAAAGTTGTTAGTGTATTTTATTTTATTTTAGTATTAGGAGAGTAAGAGGTTACAGTAGCTCTCTTATTAGCTCTATAATTAGCACTAATTACACAGTTGTTCATTTACTTAGATATGTGTAAAGTTCTTGTTACCTAATCCTTTCCTAATACAATAATAAGAAATAAAGATTTTAGACTAAACATTTGTACAGAAAATGGTATTTATTCGTCTGGAGGTGGTGTTTGATTTTACCTATGTCACAGCAGTTATTTTTTGATGTAGACATTTCCCCTTCAATACAATATATTAATTATTATAATATATATAATGTTATTTATATAATATAGTGATATATTTATAATGAAATAGAAAATGAATCAATATATAACGAACAATGAAAATATTAGAAATAAATGGCTCAAATTGTTTTGGGTTTATACAATCTGAACTACAGAATACTTGTAAATTAAGGTTATACAATTTAAGCAACGAGTAGTACAATTAAATGAACAGTTGTATAATTTGTAAAATGGGGGTTTGCCCGCCGTTAGGCGGACAGGGATACCTTCCTAGTTTTCTAAATAACTAAATATTAAAATATCTGAATAAATATTCCAGACCATTTCATCAAACAAATTTTATATTGAACTTCGAAATCTATTGGAATGACGCGTAAGGGGACACACCTTATATATATTTTTTTTTTTTTATGTGTATAACTTTTCGAAAATAATAAACCGATGTGAAATAATTTCCACGTTCTTTTTTTTTTTTTTTTTTGTTCTAATATCGTAAGCATTTAGAATTCCAGATCTATTTCAGGTAAACGTGTGAATAAGTTATTTTCTAGCGATTTCGTTTAGAGTTTATGAATATTTGATGCTAATGGCTGCAGCGTTAATGTTCTGGAATAGAGTTTTTGTTTAATTTGACTGGCATCTATAATTCGATTAAAAGCTAATGGTTTCTTTAATTATTTACAAACAAAAGAAACGTTTTTGCACTTATTGATAATGGTGATGTGGAATTTCAGGTTGGCAATCTTTTTTAGACAGCTTTGGAAATCTTGAATTATCCCGAAGATCTGTTGCAGCATAGAAGGAAATCTATGCTAGAATCTAAACGCACCTAGTGGAACGAGAATTCTCAGTATTCTACAAATATGGAAAATTTTGTACTCTAAATATATATATATAACTGGATACATATATATAACTGGTTGAACGAAAAAAATATGTTGTTCTGGTTTTTTATAAAATAATTATAAAAAGTACCTAAAATACTTTTTCAAGGAATAAATAACATCGATGGTTAAAGTCGATATATTGGTAGCATCAATTTTTGGTTTTCAATGGTTTTGGACATCCACATATCCAACTTTCGTCTCTCGTCTCTATAATCCACGCCCTGCAGAACATAATGGAGATAACATCTCAATGTAAAGAAATTATTAGAGGCTGAATGATTCTTTCAAATAGTTGATATTTTTTATGAGTAAAAGGACAAATTGTATGATAAAAAAGAAGGAAGGACGCCTTTCAAGACTATCTTTCAATCTCCTCAAAGAGATTTCTTGATTCGTCAAAAATAAACTTATATTCCTGAAATAAATTTTCTTTCCAAATCTTTCTTTCATAATTATTTTTTTCGTTATAATTTGTTTATAAGGAAATAAAATAAAATGATCCTTACAATATATTTATAATAAGTAAAACTCTTTACTTTATCTTTTTTATTATTTTGACCAGATGTAGCCTTTTAATTATGTTCTATTTTGTTATTCTAAAGGGACTTTGTCTCAGAATAAAGTTATTTTCTATTTCTATTTCTAAAACCGTATTTATTATTAGTAATAACAATAAGTAAGGTTTCTAAATAATTTGTTTACAGTAAAATTTATTTTATAAAACTGTTGCCTTTTCTCTATTTAAATGGATATTTTCTGTTTTCATATCATATTAATAGTTAGGATTCTGTCAATCACTAAAAAGTAATTTAGTAAATGACAAAACTTAATAATTGCATAAATTAAAAAAAAATGTATAACAAATATATATTTCACATTCAGAATCGAACGTAGATAACCCAAGATCTTTTTTGCTGCCTGACTACCGAATGTATGGAAGCATTGTATTCGTGTGAGAGGTAAAAAAAAAAAAATTTATACTCAGAATAAAAAATTTCCACTCGCGTTTTAGTTTCAGACGTCAAGGATCTAATTTGGTTCAGCATCTGTCTATCTATCGGTCTGTTTGTAGTCAAATTGATGTGACGGACATATCACCTACTACTACCTTTCATTCGATTTTCCTGATATTTTTATGAATTTTGCGGGTTGTTGTCTAGATGGACACACATCAATTTTATCAAATTCCATCCAGCACTTCCGCTTACCCTACGTATGCGCAGACGTATTTTTTTTAGATATGCCAATATTTCAGTAACTACTCATTCCATTTGGCTCAAAGTTGGATAAAATACAGGCATTGGTGAAAAAATAATGTAGTGTCAATTTTCTTGAATTCTGTCCACTACTTTATCTTATATATCGCAACCTATTTTCCTTGATATGACTATATCTCTAAAACCACAAGTTCGATCTGGTTCAAATATGGAGGTAAGTTAGGGATTGGTTAACAGATAATTAAGTGAATATCAATTTTATTAAATTGTAGCCACTACATAAAAAACATACTTCCGCTCTCGGATCAGTAAACGTATTATTTGACAAGCCTATAGTTTAAAAACGGCTCGTTCAATTTTACTCAAACTTGGAGGAAATTAGGAGAATAGAATAGGAATTGCATAATATTTATTTCATTGAATTATATTCAATAATTAAAATTAATATAAATAACTGTCAACAATATGGTTGTGAAATGTGAAAGGCATTGATCATGTGTAATGGAGGTTAGGTTAATACAATATTTTTATGACGCTATAAATTGTAATAAGGTTTTATTCACAAACTGAATTTATACTTTATTGTTTGGTCGATTCCAAACGTAATGTATTTTTATTCTCATTTGTCGTCCCTTAGATTTCGTGTAATTTTCATTACATTTAAAGCAATTTATACTCTGAGTTTGTAGAAAAAACAACGTCTTATTTGTAATCATCATCATGAATGGCTCTACAACTCTTGAAGAGCCAAGGCCTCCCGCAATTTCAACCACCAGTCCTCTCCAAGTAATGTTGCTGCCTTCCAGTTGTGGACACCATGGATACTTCGGGCGTCGGCTTTCCACTCCATCAGCCCATCCGAGTCTCGGTCTGCCCACCCGCCTTGTTGTGAAAATCGGCTCATCCATCAACTTCCTTAGCACATGTTGTTCAGACATACGGATAAAGTGTCCACCTCAACCTGCCGATTTTCATAAGCCTCGCAACATCGGCTTCTTTATATAGCTGCATCAGCTCATCGTTGGATCGCATTCGCCATTCCTGATTAATATTTATTATTGGGGCGAATATTCTTCTTAGCACACGAAGTTCAAACCGAAGAAGAGCTGTTTCTTGGGCTCTTGACATTTTCCAGCACTCCGACCCATATCTTAGTACTGGTCTGATCAGGGTTTTGTACAAGAGCAGCTTGGTTTTACGAGAGATCACTCTACTTTTGAGATGTCCCTGAAGACCAAAATAAGCTCTATTAGCGGCCATAATGCGTCTCTGTATTTCAGGATTCATATCGTTATTTACATTAACTTGCGAACCAAGGTATATAAATTACGAGACATCTTCAAAAGTCATCCCTCCGATTTCTACATTTGCCTCTCTGTGGCCTCCATCCTTTGGGTCGGCCCGCATAAACTTTGTTCTTATTTGTGATTGTGTTTATTTCCATTGAAGTTCAACCAGTTCGTCTTGGTTTCCTCCTTTAATATTGAAGTTATGTGAACTTCACCCATATTGTTATATTCCAGCTTAATTAGTTTTGTTCTGACTGAAGAAAAATATTGGTCTCGTTAATTCCGAACAAACAAAAA